AGTGGGTGAGACTCAGTTGACACAGAGGTCAGGAGAGAGAGAGAGAGAGAGAGAGAGAGAGAGAGAGAAACAATTAACATAAGATCTACATTGGCATTCAGTTTGTAAGTATACAGTACTATATTATTAATTAAAGGCAGTATGCTATACTCCAGATGTCTAGGGATTATTCATTTTGCATAAATGAAATTTAGTAACCTTTTCTTATTAGTTCCCTTTTTCTCCTCACCATAGGCTCTGGAAAACACCCTTTTCCTCTCTGCTTTTATGAGTTTGACTATTTTGAATTCATCATAAACATGAGATCACATTGCTAATTGTAAACCACCTGAAAAAGAAAGATATAATAAAGAAAATTAAATTTAAAAAATAAGTGGGATCATGTAGTGTTTGTGTTTAGATTATTTCACTCAGCATAATGCCCTCTAGTTTTATTCAAGTTGCCCAAATGGCAGGTTCTTCTTCCTTGATGGGACAGCACCCCATTTTATGTATGCATCACACTTTTTTTACCCAATCAACTTTAATGGACATTTAGGTTTCTTCCCTGCTTTGACTATAGTAAATAACATTGCAATACATGGGGTGGAGATGTCTGTTTGAGATACTGATTTCAATTCCTTTGGCTACAGACCCAGAGGTGAAATGGCTGGATCACTGAGTAGTTCTATTTTTACTCTTTTGAGGAGCCTCCCTGCTGTTCTCTGCATGGAGTTCTGTTTCTGGACTGCTAGTTGTATTCCATCAATCCTTGTGTCTTTCCTCATGCTAGCCAAACAGTGTCTTGGCCACTGACATTTTGTAATGAGTTTTAAAGTGTGAGTCCTCCAACTTTGCTCTTTTTCAAGATTGTTTTGTCTATTTTGAAAATCCCTTGCATTTCCATAAATAGGAAAATTGCTAAATGAATTTTAAAACTCCATATATTTTGCTCTTCTGGAATGTTGTTATTTATGTGTTGCTTCCAGCTCCTTTTCTTTTAACTCATGATTTCCCTTTATTTATTTATTTATCTCTTTCCCCACAGATGTATATTGTGCAGTGCATCTTTCAGGTTTGCTGGGCAATGTCCTTGATCTCTAAATACTTCATATCCAAACACATCTAGGGCCTCCCCAAAATATGGGTTCCTTTAATTTCCTTATCCCTCCACTATGCTCATGGAGGGACCACTCTGGCTGGTGCTTCCAGCCCAGCTGCAGCAGCGGCTGTGTCACTGGGGATTTCTTCCTTATTTTATTATACTAACTTCCTGAGTCCCCAGTCTGACTTGAATTTCCGGTTTTAAATTTCCACAGATTCCCTCTGCTTTTTTTTTTTTTGTTCACCCACCTTGCTGAGAAGCTTCCTGTCTGCTTTTTTGGTTTCACTCTATGAAGCAGCCAGGAAAGTGACCCCTCTATTCTGCCATCTTGAAAAATCTCCCTGGCTTTAAAGTTGAATTAGTTTCTCATTTGATTGACTATTCTTTTAGCATGGTTCCTTCCTTTGCTGGTTTTCACTTTTCTTCCTCATGAAATATCTTATTGAGTATGTTTTGTAGTGCAGGTTTTCTAGTAGTGAATTATCTTAACTTTGATCATGGAAGGTTTTTATTTCATCATCAATTCTGAAGCTTAATTTTACTGGGTACAGTATTCTTGGTTGGCATCCATTTCCTTTCAGAACTTGGTATATATTATTCCAAGACTTCCCTACCTTTGAGGGTCTGGGTTGAGAGATCAGCTGAGATCTGAATTGGTTTCTACCTAATGTTACCTGTTGTTTTTCTCTGGAAGCCTTTAAAATTCAATCCTTATTGTGTATGTTGGGCATTTTCATACTAATATGCCTTCATGTGGGTCTCTTGTAATTTTGTGTATTTGGGATTCTGTAAACTTCCTGTATTTGATTTTCCATTTCATTCTTTAGGTTTGGGAAATTTTCTGTCATTGTTTTTACTGAAAAGATTTATGCATTCCTTTGTTTTGTATCTCCAAGCCTTCATCTATTCCAATAAATCTCAAATATTCTCTTTTCAGGTTATTCCATATTTCTTGGAAGTTCTATTCATGTTCTATTAACATCATTTCTCCACAGTCAACTTTGTTTTAAGATTATATATTTTGTCTTCATTGCCCGAAACTTTGTATTCCAAGTGATACAGTCTGTTTGTAATGCTTTCAATTGAATTCTTAATTTGATTTATTGATTCCTTTGTTTTGAGGATTTCTAGTTGTTTTTTTTTTTTTCAGAATCTATCTCTCTTTATTGAAGTAATCTTTCACTTCCTGTATTTTCTCTCTGATTTCACTCCTTACACTGTCCTTTACTTTGCAGATCAGTTTAACCATGTACATTCTAAACTTCTTCTCTGACATTTCTTCCACTGTGGTGTTGATGAATTCTGTTATTGGAGTGTCTTGGTTTATTTGGGGCATTTTTTCCCCTTGCTTTTTCATGTTGTTCAAAGATTTAAACAAATCTTCTGTGCAATTAACTTTGGTTCACTGTGGCAAACATATCTTTCAATTTTCCAGTTAAACAGGTTTTAAGTTTTGTATTGTATATGTATGTGTTTTGTGACTGAATCTTTCCATATCTTATTACTATCTTACTTCACAAATGCTTTACTGAAATATAATTCATTATATAAAATTCACACTGTTAAAGTTCAAAATTCAGTGGTTTTTGGTAGATCCACACTCTTATTCAATCATCTAGTTCCAGATAGTCTAATTTCATAATTGCCCCCAAAAGAACATCAGTCTTAGTTCATGAGGACTTCTTGGCAAGATTCTTGACTACTATTTGCTTATTCAAAACTAAAGTGTATTCATGCCACTCCATTATGATTCACCTTGTCTCTAGGGAAACCTTAAAACATTTTAGGGAAGTGGTCAATTCTTTATATAGGATCGAAAAGGTTTTGCTTCTCATCATGTAAACCTGTCTTTCCTGTCTTTTAAGATTTCCCAGGCTATGTTGAAAACTTACACATTAGTTCTATTTGACATTTAAACTTTCTGAATGACATATGAGGAGGTACAGTTTGACTTCCCAGTTCTGTACTATTTTTGTCTATCTTTTCCTTTTATGCAAGAATTGCATTAATGGGGCTGGAGATG